GTTTCTAATATGCATATTGTTATAAAATTTAGTTATTAAATATTTAAAGTCTTCGCATGATTTTAATAATAAGTAAGTTGAGTTCCATCTGTACCCTACGTCACTAATTAATGTTTTCGTATGTGTCACCCCAGATTCGACACAAAATTTTTCAAATACTTGTTTTCTGTTAGGTGAAATTGTGATATACACTAGTGCATCCCTAATTCTTTGAATTTTATTCTTAATATGTTTTAAACCGTCTTGTACTATTAAATTAAAAATATGGTATACACGTCGAATATACAACAAATAACCACCGAAATCAGGTTGCAGTACTCTGCACAATTTATCAATAACTACCTTATTAACAGTAGCGTTGTCGAACGTAAATGAAAGAATTTTACTAAACTATTTCCAATTAGTAAATTGAAATTCAATTTAATTTCAAATTTCATTACTATATTATTCACCAAAGCCCAAGTTGATGAAAATTTAATTAATTGAAGAGTAATACTATTTATCATTATAATGATAAAATATCGGTAATGTGGCAATTTATGTATAATAATAAGATATGATAATTTAATTTTCATGAGAGAGAGTGATATTGAATATGTCATATCTCATTATTCCACATAAATTACTACATTATCGATATTCCATTATTATAATAATATATCTCATTATTCTTAAATGAAATGCATACTGCAATAGATATTATTTGTGATGATTGTGTTGTATGTTAAATAGATATTCTTTGTGATCACTGTATTGTATGTTAACTTACAGCTACTCCATACAAGTTTTTCAAATGAGAGGAAAACATGAATGTTCTTATAATCTAAAAGCAACTTATTTTGTTTACAAAATGTCAAGTAATGATCAAATAGAATATCACTTATGGTATGATTGTCAACAAATAAAGTTCCGTCAATTTAGGAAATTCTACACGACAAAATTTGAAAGAGTGACGAAATTTGAAATTAAGTGGAGTGTATTCAATGCACATTTTTAGAACTTTTATAGTGTTTGTAAAGTAATGTGCTTTTATGAAATTCATGGACTTTTAAGTTATGTATATTTGCATGTTATTAATGAAAGTCTACGCTAAAGTCTTGCGTAGACTTTCATTTAAAGACTTTTATAACTTTGATCATTTCCCTTCCCTTTTCCCTTTTCCCATGTAATAAAATTAATTGAAAGAATATAAAAAAATTTATGTAACCTCAATTATAAATAAATATTTAAATTACAAAAAGGATATAATAATTTAGTACTATTTAATAAAATAAAATAAAGGTAGGTAGAAGAGAAAGAAAAATATTAATTTTTTAATTATAGCTCTAGAGT